ACCTCCCTTGTTCAGGCAATAGATGCGACCAAGAGCAGGGCAGAGAGCCAAGCAAATAACACAACTTCAGCAACAAGTGAAATCCAACCTGTCTTTCTCTGATTGAGGAAGCCCTGCTGGGATAAATGCCCCAATCCATCTCTTCTCTAAAACAGGAGCTGAAAAGTGGGTTAGATCCTGCTGCCAGCAGTGATGCCTTTGGGGAGGTCTCTGCTAGGAGCTGACAAAGACTGGAGTGATCAGAAAAAATAAATCTTGCTTCTCACAACAGAGCTGACTGAAATCAGTGACTCTCTGCACAGAGGAAAGTGGTGGGCAGCCAGGAGGGGTTGGGAGGCAGTGGGAGTCAGTAAATGCAGAACCTCACAGCCAGCCCTGATCTTGCTGAACTCAGCTCCAAAGTCACCCTTGTTTGCATTTGTGTCCTTGTGTCACCTTTTCCTCGGTGCACTGCTGGTATCTTCTTCCCTGAAATGGTGAATTTTTTTCTTCTTCCACCTTTAACAACCAATATAACATACAGAAGGGAAGGTGAATAAAATTAAATTAAAATACCAAATAGGGAAACTTAGGGATTTTTAAAACTGTTTGGTTTATGTAAGTAATTATTGGAAACTGGCACAAACACGTCACTATCTGCTCTGAGATACCAGAGCAGATGTGACAGAGTGGAAAAGCCTCTTCCCTGCCAAAGTATTTGCTGGTGATTCGATAACAAGGTGCCATTGTACAACAGTGGGTAAAGGTTCAGAGTAGAAAGGGGAAGCAGAGGAGGCATCCAAGCGGTGCAGGGCTCTGCCTTTGCAGGCTACAGCTCCTCCACTGAAACTCGTGCCCGCAGACAGCGAGTACAACTGGGTTAGGTTCAGTGGGAAAGCAGCTCTCCTGTCCTGTTTTCTTATCTGTAATCAGTGACAGCCCATCTTGTCCCTTCATTTCTGTCAGAGGGCTGTAGGCTCCTTCTGGCTTTTCTGTGCACTTCCAGGGAGAGCATTAAAGTCATCACTCCAAATGCACATTTATAATCTGAACAAACACGTGAAACTTAAGTCCAAGAGCTCCAATTTCTAATAGTTGTACTGACAAACTTAGAATGATTCCTGTGAATTTCATTCATCCCTGTCATTATCTCCCCCTAGATACTAACACTATGTTTTTTACAAATACTGATAGGGAGTGTCCTGCAAACACAGCTGAGTTGGAATAGCAGATACAGAATACAATTTCAAATGGCATCATTTCACTAGAAATCCCAAAGACCTAGAGCAGCCTACGCCCCACCCTTGAAAGAGATGCTCTTACTTGTTTTGATTCTGAACTGAGAAGCAGCTGGTTTTCTGTAGCTAAGGGGAGATGGGAACGTTTGGGTTACATTCTCTTGTTCTCAGAACTCACCTGCTTTTTGTCCCTTACCAAAGAAAACTTCCCAAGAATTATTCAACAGACACAGAAAACACATCAAAGCAGTAACTGCACCTTTAGCCTGACATGGTAACAAGTCTCCCACGTAATCCCCCTAAGCACTCTTCAAATTCAAAACACAGTCTCAAAAATCAATCCCAAATTGCTTGAAGGATGTTATCTGAAGTCACTCTACCTTAAAAAAGCCAACTCAAACAGCAATTTATCTTAATAGCCTTTTACTAAGCACATATGAGTAGGCAGGTTGATCAGGTAAGAGAAATGCTTTAACCATCCCAACGACATCTCAATTCCTTTCTCCAAGCTACTAGCAATTGCTCTCATGTCAAGGTTTAAAAAGACACCCGGCACCTTGAAGGTCCCTTTAGCCATCCGTATGCTTTGCTTCTGCAACCGTTTCAGACTTGCCGTCCCAGAAGCCTCCTCAGTGGCCACCATGGGGCACGGGGGCAGGCAGCTGCTCCCATTTATCACAGCCAGCCTGAAACCCATTGCCTGAGTCAGCACAGCGAGCGAGCTGCTTTCCTCCTCTCCCCTTTCCCCTCCCTCTACCCTTTCCAAACAGCATTGCTTTTAGCTCATTTATCTGCCTATTGGGGTGATATGTAATCAGAGCAGGAGTCCTGATGGGAAATACAAAGTGATTCTTTAGAGTGGTTGGCTTTGAAAACCATTCTGGGCGCTGATCAAGCGAGTGTTACAGCTGCCCCTTCCATTCGCTTTGCCTTCTGCCCTGAGTCTGTCAGCACCAGACAAACTGGAAGGGCCTTCGGGGCATTCCAGGCCCATCTTGCTCTAGTAAAATCTGATATTATTTATATCAACATGTGACACTCGCTTGATGTGAAGGTAAAGACACAGACTGACTCCCCCACCCCACTGTTCTCGGGACTCTGGTCTAGTCTTTCTTTAACACAGAGACCAAAAATCTCAGTCTCTTGACTTTGAAAAAGTGGTAGATTCGCTGTAGTTAGAGCCACCACTCTAATCCAAAATAATGACTGCTTTCACCCGTATCTCTGTAATGCCCACACTGCCAGGACTGAAAAAACATCCACTCCTTAGTTATGAAACTGAGGAGTCACGAGCCGCTCCCTAATAAACTACACCTGCACAGTAACCCAAAATCAGGTTTAGCATCCGTCTGTGCTCCCCAACAGACTCAACCTGCTTTTATCAGAGCGCCGCCCTCGGAACAATATAGACAAGGGAAAAGGTCCTGCTACAAATCTTCCCACCAAATTCTTGTTTAATTAAATGGTTTTCCACATCTGCTTGTACGTCCTCCTTGGCAATCTAATCCTGTTATTAATCTTCTTTTACAGTAAGAAGAATAAAAATAGTAATTTCTTCCTGAGTTTGGATGCTGAAAAGACTTTTTTCCATATGAAGGTGGCCAAGTAACTGAGTAACATGGAGATGTAACATGAAGGTGGACGAAATGCTGCAGAATTCATGTCCGCTCACAGTAAAACAGATGGTAGAAGTGCAAATAGAAACCAGAAAGAGGGAGGCATGAAAGGAACCACTGGGCTGATGCAGGAATACCTACAGCAGAGCAGGCAACAGGAAACAGACCCCAGCATACAGAGACAGGAGAAGGAACCCAGCACAAAAGCCGTTCCGCTTTGCTGGCTGCAGTGAGCCCATCCCCATCTGTTCCAAATCAGGGCAGGATTAACTGGGTCAGCCCAGCGGATGCCAATGTCAGTGTCTTCCAAGATACATCATTTTTGTGGTTAGTTTCAGAAATAAGTTTTCTTTTAAAAGGAAAAAAAAAAAAAAAGCCAACCCACCCAACCCTTCATTCTGGGTAACGGGGTAGAAGCCGATCGCAGGACGAGCCACGGGCTGCACTGGAAGCCGGAGGGTTGTGGTTGGGGGTCACCACTTGCACGCTGGCTCCCTCGTGGCATCGCAGCCCTGTGACAGCCCCGGCGCGTCGAGAGCCCACGCACTCTCACAGTCTCTGTAGGAACATTCGTTCTTGAAGATGCAACTACGGAAGCGAGAGGCTGTCAGAGTCGTGGGTAAGATTTCGACTTTGGGGTGCTTACTCCAGCCCCTCGTATTTGGTGCAAAATTGGTCAGGAAAAAAAAGACTAACGAGGCAAAAAAAAAAAAACAACCCATGCGCAATTCCTTAACGATTCAACTGCTACAGGCATTTGCCTGCCAAACAGAATCCTCAACTTTGCTCTGACTTGTACGAGGCATTAATTCAGGTTCGGTATTCACAAGGGCTGCAAAAGATTCATTTTCACACACCTACTCGAAAGAGCGGAATCCTAGGAATGAGCATGCCAACCCCTGACAGTTATAGCAGCTCTTGTGATAAGAACTATCCTGATGCATTATGTAAAATAAAAACAAGGCCATGTTTCAGTGAATGTACTGAAAGAATTGTGAATCGGTGCAAGAACTTTTCCCATCAGCTTCGCACAGTTATTTCTCTCAGAAGACAGAAATAAACCAAAGTAACTTCCCATTTCAGAGCCCGTTGCTCGAAGACAAGCATCTGTTTACGCTTACACTGATCATTAAAGAAATGTCTTCTCAACAACAAGTGGCACTGAAGTGTTCAGATGAGCTATTCCGGGGGACCGGGGGATGATTCTTTATGCACGATGCAACTTTTGTTAAGTCCTGGAAGTTTGGAACAGTTTTGATTTCAGTGCTTAAAATGACACTAGCGCGCCTGCATGCAACCGCGTACTTCAGCATCATAAACACCAAGCAGATACAGGACAAGCAGCACCGATAATCTCATAGGATTTGAGGGAAAAGAAAGCAAAATGAAACTTACCTTTCTGCTGCCAGCACTAATATTTGCTTTCCCTGTTTTTCCAGAATTCAAGTAACAAACCCACACATACAACCCTGCAAACCCAAAGGGGTGGTACGGGACTACAGGGAGAGGAACCAGCTCCGTGCTGGGCGCTCGCACAACCAGGACACAGGAGCAATCTTGTACAATCACCACCTACAGAACATTCACCAAGGGCGTTACAGACAGGTTCCTCAGATCAGCAACTACAGTACTGAAAATAAACGCATTTTGCTCAGAAAGAACACACAGGATTCATGTAGGTTCTTTATTAAAAACAAAAGTTTTAAAAATCAGAAAATCTTGAATGTAATGTGGGTAGTAACGTCTTCTATAAAACTCACTCTACAAAGCATGTATGCTGCAAAAGCCCCAGCCTACCCTCTCTCACGAGGTAAATTTTGTTTACAAGATTTAAATCACAACAGCCAGTTCTGCCTCACGAAATGAGCTTCTCTGAAGCCGGAACAGACAGCATGTGACACAAGCTTAATATCGTCTCATTTACTACCATAAGTTCTTTTCAGAACTGATTAACCCGGAGGTGGTTTCTTCCCCAGCATTATACATCTGGGCATCTCCATAATCCAAGAAAAATTAAGAATGAGGAAAAAGGAGAGGAGCTAGATAAAAATAACCTGAAATATGCGTTTGCAAAAAAAGTTATTCAATTATGGGAAAAATAAGTAGCAGATACACGAGGAAGCAAGGTGCAATTCCGCTTTCTCAGGAGAATGGCAGCTTAGTTCTGCCTAAAGAAAGCTCCGTGGAAAAGGGAGTTAAATAAAACTCACAGTAACTCACAATTCCCACCCCAGCCTACCTCCTTTGAAATAAATACACATTCTTCCTTATATTTATCTATGCCTACTGCCCTCAATCATCCAGTCTCTAAAATGCTTCTCCATCAAGCTTCTGGCTCTCCAGTCACCAACGTTTACAGTGGGGATGATTTTCTGCGGCTTCAACCATTGAACAAAACGCTTCATTTCCAGGTAACTGCTGTGTTCACTGTAAGGAATCCCTGAAATGAAACAAATCACAGCGACCTGTCAGTCTACTTAGCTTCTTGCCAAAACGCTCTTGCAAGCCTTCCAGCTAAGAAATACTTTAGATAATATTTTATTAAATTCATATTTGAGATCTAAAGTTCATAGCTAAGGTAAAATGAAAACCCAGATTTTCCTTCTGGAAAAACTATCTTGCGTCAAGTTACCAGGTCATTCATCAGCGCAAACTGAGCGACACCAAGCATTTGGTCAAATGGATGTTAAGAGATTCAACTCCACCCACTAACAAGAACAGAGAGGAAGAGGAAGATCCACAGTCTCTCACAAATGAGTAAGGTATGGAGTGAAATCTTGGCTCTGGAACTGCACTGCCCCCTGCATCAGTCAGGCCAAGACTACACCCCTGAAGTCTCTACCTATATCGGATAAAAGCCTTTATTTGCACAAGGAGGACAGAAGCAGAATGCATGTAAAAATCTGCATCTACAGTGTTCCCAATGACTCAGTTCACAGATCTCTCCTGGAGAGACCATCTGTTTGGTTTCTCAATGAGTTATCAGAAAAAGTATTGGTTACAAAGAGCAGTAGGAGTTTCCAGAATAAAAAATACGAAAAGCATCCACACAAAATTAAATGCATTGAATCTTCAGCACTCTTATACCATATATGGTGATCTTTCCTCTTGTCTGAGGTTTGATATCCACCAAAGAAAGGCATGAATCAGAGTAGGTCCACCCAGTAGGTTTGAAAGCCAGAACTTGATCGAAATTCTCAGAAAACTTATTCAAGTGATCTTGCAAGCCCTGTGAAAAGAATACAGCACGTACTTACACCCATCAAATAGCTCATTAGTCTAAAGGTTGGAAATTTCACAGAGAGACTTCAGACTAAATTTTACTTTCACGTTTTGATATTTATATTTTAAATACCACATGCCTTGGAATTATGAATGATAAATATTACATTTGTCCCTTAGGATCTCAATTGCTCCACCTGAACAAGCACATACTAACAGCTATGTATTACAGATCAGAACACATAAGGCATAATCACATCTTCTTACAGATCTCGCTCCCCAGGTCATTCATTTCCTCCTCTCAGCTGGAGGTCAGCACCCTCGCAGCCGAGTGGTGATAAAAGATGGTGAAGGCCTGCTTGAGTTCAAAATCACCTGGTTAATTTAAAGTGCCACTGAGCTCCCTACATCTGCGTACGCCCAGAAGCGCTCAGAGTTAATCAAGCAAGCTACCCAAAAAATCGCAGCAAGCCAGTGCATGAGTTTAGTATTGCTCTGAGCACTAAACCCTGTTTTACCACACCTCCCTTCATGACAGGAAGGAAACCACCTCATCTCTTCACTCTAAAAAAAATTAAGTTGAAAAAGTTTCCAAGTTGGCTAACTTAGCCTTCAGTGTTGTTTAAGCTAGGATCGGGAAAAGGATGAGAGGGAAGTATAAGGAATGTACAATCCCATTCCTGGATAAAGTGAAGTCAGTATTATTTCAAACCAAAAATAGCAAATCAGTTTCACGTGTCCTGTATAAAATCTTAAAGGCACGTCCTCCATTTGAAAGTCCTACAAGATTATAGAACTCGAAATCATAAACTTCGCATCATCAGCA